ATTTTACTGTGCCAAAAATAGGAAGAATTTTGTCTGTTCTTAGGCTATTCAATGTTATTGAGAATGAAAAACCCTCTTTCTAATGATTATTCTAGCTCTTTAATACAGTCCATGAGGTGCAGTAGTACTGCTGTAATTTACCCACCGAAGGTAAGGGCACTGGGGAAAAAGCACACTGCGACTGTATCTTTTCCTTGCCACTGGTCTAGACCTCCTTCACTGGTGAGATAACACAAAGGGAAAGGGAAGACCTGGAGGAGACTAAAGAATAAGCAGGAGCATGACCGGCTGTTCCAGCCAGACCATAAAGAAGATCATCAGCTGATGAGATGATGCACACAATTTGAGGGATAAATTCCCTCCTTTCCCAAACCCCATGTGATTTCTTACTCCAGAAAAAGTCTAAATGCTTGATTTGTATGAACTTTACTCACAGTGACAAATGCAAGAAACTGTAGTTAACATTCAAGAAACATAATGCAAAATCAAGAGAAATGAAAATGTACCAAGTGATCAGTTCTGAGTTGTTTTCTCAGTCACTGTGTCTAAACCCCACATTAACTCAAAGATCTTTTTGCAGTGTATGAAGACAAATATTTGTTGGTCAACAGATAACCCTTGTTGGTGTGTAAAAGCAAAAAAATCTATGCCAACCGCTTGATAAATTCAACTTAAAAAACACTTCCTCTTTATTATTTTTTTCAGCATCCTTTGTGCATATTTGCCTCTGGTTTGTACTTCGCTTTGATTAATCACATCACTCCAACAAGACTGTATCTCTTCAGTCTGTTTGTGAAAGGATTATACGTTGCCTTTCTTTCTTACGCTTTTATTCATAACCAACCACATGCTATTCATTTATCTATAGCATCTTCTCATCTTGGCTCCATGTGTCCAAGAATTTCCCTCTGATTATTTTCAAACAAGTTCCTTGTGAACTTCTTGTCTCATTGTCTGTTTATTCAGAATAGGTTATTATAACAACAGCTTCTGTTTTCAGTGCTTCTGCACAATTTGCAGTGTTACCAAATTCAGACTTTTATCTGTAGTACCATCACTGGTATGTTTTTTTCTGTTTTCAGTTACTCATTTGACTTTGACTTGACTTGAACCTAAAACTAACTTTTATTGGAGTTCACTGAAAGCTCACATTATTTGTGCAGGACATGCAATATCTTCCTTTATCCATGATCACTTCATCTTCTTAGGAGGAGTTCGTCTGTTTTTCAATTGGTATTTTCAACAGAGTTCTACACAGTTGTACTGTCTTTTCTTGGCAATTCCCTCAATAACCTCAATCCGCTTACCAGTAAGTATGGGAACATGGGGAGTGGGGTTGGGTGAGGCATTCATGTCAATACATTGAGAAGGCTGCTTTCTAGTGCTAAATGAAGCTTCTTTATTTAAATTTCCCATGTCAACCTAACAAATCAGATCAGCTGCGCATCTGAAATCACAAAACACATTACATTTTTCTCTCTACATGATGTTACACACACGTTCATTTCTAGATATTATGCATTCCACACTGAGAATTTTTTGTGTTCTTCGTGCATCGCAACTCTCTTGGATAGCCAGGAAGGAACTTGCCTTGTATGCATTTTTAACTAGATATTTCTGATGTAAGCCTGCTGGAGATGTTTAACTGCCATCTCTTTTGGTGGAAAGTTCCACATCCAGCATCCAGCAGCTAGGAAAGTTCGGCCTGCGGCTTTCCCAACCCTCCTCCTACTGGTCAGTAGCTTGTGTGCCAGCTCAGCTCTCAACCCTAACAGAGAGCAAACTTAAAAAAAAAAAAAAAACCAAAGCATCCTTATTTGCCTCAAATAACTGCTAAAATGTTGTCACTTTGGATTACATTTTATCTTGCCTTCCAGCTTCTTGTTAAGTTTAAAAGTATGCGTTCCTTACAGAAAACTTTGTGCAGCTTATAATATGTCCTGGAATTTTCATTTCTTCCTTTTCATTTCTTCTTTCCATTTCATTTAAGTGTTTCCATGTTAGTCTCCAGCAACATTTATGCCTTAGGGACCTTCACCTTAATCACATTCTGGTTGTATTAATTCCATGGCTTAAACAGAAATGTTTCTTTTCAGTCCTGTCCTCTGTCACGTAGACCTATCTCAGTACATCCATTGCAAGATGTAGCCTTTTCTGAAGCTGAGATATTATTTATCTACAATTTCTTTTTGGAAAAAAAAAAAATCTAACATTTGAGGAAAGTATTGTAAAGGTCACAACATCTCTAGAATAAAACTCCTTCCATGGACTTTAAATTAGATGTTGAAAGTAATAACCAAAATGAAACAAACAAATAAATAATGTTATATTTGCTTTTCTAGTGGGTGTTTGATACTTATTGTTATTCTGTGGAAGATTTTCTGAACTCAGGTATGTGCAAACACAGAGCAAATGGAACTGGTTTGGGTTTTGGGTTTTTTTTTTTGGTTGGTTAGTTTGGTTTTTTTTCTTTGAATCTTATTGCAAACATTAATGTCAAGGTCATGAGACCTTCCTTCAGGAAGTAGCTCGTTGTTAATTTGATTTCATTATGACCTGATGAACTCCACAGCTTTAGCGAGGTCTGCAGGTAGGACTTAACTGAGGTCGAAGAGCCTATATAAGGGAGAACATGTGGAGAGCACTTTCATGTACAGATGGACGCATATGTATGTGTTTTCTGGGAAATAAAAATCAGAACTAATTGTTGTAATGCTGAAGTGACAGTTTTACTCAAAGGGAGCAGCAGTGAAGGATTTAAAACTGGAAATCTATGAATATTTGCTATCATCATCATCATGTCCTCTTTCCTCTTCTTTAATTAAATAACTTAATTAAAAGAGTAATTAGCAATAACATATCAACATAGAGATATAATATCTCTGCATTTTTCTTAACAGTTAAGCTTCAGCTATGGGTCTTCTACCTTGCTCAGTATTTAGAGTTCCTAATTTATATGTCATTTTTATGTTTATTTTTCAATGTTAAGAAAATATATACTATAAAAAATGCAAAAGTGTATCATGTAGTTAAGGCACTAGATAGGAAGTCAGATATTTCACACTGAATCCCACTGGTGCTACAGGTTTTCTCTGTGACCTTGAGCAAATCACTTAATCTCTCTGTACTTCTGCTCCTCATTTATTTTTTAAAGGATGATAATACTTCTTCTGTCTCTGTATTTACATTGCAAACTCCTTTTACACTGTTTTATAAGATTCTTGTTGCAATAAGGATCTTATCTAAGAATTCTTACTATGGAGTTGCTTTTACTATGTAAAAAGCAATATATTCTATATGACGAGTTGTCCTGTATGATAGGTTATCCTGAGCTATGACCTAGCTGTATACAGAGTTACTACTATTATTAGCACCAGTTCTAAATTTGCAGACTCTGTTTAACAGTGGACAGTCAAACCTTGCACTCTCGTTACCATTCTGCTGCTGTATATAGCTATGTGCTTATAATAACCTATCCGAGTCTTGCTTGATGCAAATCCTAAGGCTGGAAAAGAAGTGAGCTGCAAAATGAGCTTTGCTAGAACTAAAACATGAGAAACTTAACATCAAAAATTGTTTAAAGTAAGTCCACTCAAAATTTAGTGGGAAAAAAGCAGTTTCTGTTGAAACTACTCCATAATACATCTTTGATTGAGGGAGCGAAACTATGGATAAGTAGTTCAGGTGATTTAAGTTTATGTTTATGTTTTTTGTAACAAAAGGATCAATTTGGTGATTAAAACATTCATTTGGTAAGTAGGCAATATGGCTTTACGTCCCCTGAGTGAGATGGATCCCAGTGAGAGGATTTGAACTTAATTCTCCTGTATACATATAAGAAAACCCAGGACTAGTACAGAGTGAAGAATTACATCACCTTTGACTGTACTATTAAAGGAGAAAGCTCAGCCTTTCTCCTCAGTTCTCATAAAAGGTATTACGCATGCAGCTCTGAGTTTCCTAAACAGGTCTACGGTCCTGAACACAAACCTCATGTCTAGGGAAGATTCAGGCTAAAGACAAACAGTCTTACTCAGCATTTCTTTCTGCCTTACCTAGGGAGTTCCTGGTTATTCTGGTTGAATGTTCTTGGCACAAGGTCATATCTTCTGACTCTTGCCTGCCTCATATTTAAAGAATTTGATGCAAAGCTCATTTGTGGGCTTTTGATGGTCTCTGGAGTACATCAGAAAAGGAAATTGAAGTGTGTGCTTTGATTTTGCTGAAATCTGGGGATACAGGCATGCTCAGTTCATGGATGCTATTTTGTGTCCCTTCGGGTCTTGAGGTGACAGCCAAGGCTGGTGTAAGGCAGATAAGGTGCCTAAGATGTTCTCCACAGAACAGGCCAAGCTGATGCCTAGCACAGGGAAAGGCGATAGGACATGCTGGTGTTGAAAAATCATCATTGTACCCACCCCAGCTGCATGCTTCTCAGCTCTGTCATCATGGCACAGATCATCAGGGCTTCCTGGCACAGATCAGGAAATACGCTGGTTTAGATTTCTCTCCAGCTTACACTCTAATAATAATAGAGACAGAGTAAACATGCTCCCATATACTATGTGCACAGGAGCTGCAAGCCTAACTCCTGATTACTGCTGCCTCACTTGGCAGCAAAGCATTTAAATCTCTGTTGAAATCTAGCCCAGGCTGATTCTGAAGGGCTTAAAGTCTAATAACACTTACCTAACAAGAAATCCTACTACAATAGAAGCCTGTATGCCATCAAGACCCTATATATGGCTATCAGACAGCCCTAGTCATGGTGGATGCAGCTGAACTGTCACTTCCAGAATTATCACCCTATTCAAGATACATTGCCTGGAGTTACCACGTGGGACAGAAAAGCAGTAGAAAAAAAAAATAAAAAATTTAGCTACTTATTTTACAGTTTAAAAAGATTTTGCAAGTATGGCTTAATCACTTGCAACAAGTGATTAAACATTACCCTGCATATTGCTTTCTGATGAGTGTTTTATGTGTTCTTGTCTCTGCAGACTGAAGAAGTCCTGAAGATTGATGGAGGGCCATGCTATTCAAACAGCAGGCGTTGCTGAGACAGAAGCTCTTTGTGCTAGGCAGCCTGGCTATTGGAAGTCTCCTATATCTAGTTGCCAGAGTTGGGAGCTTGGATAGGTAAGTCATTAAGAAGCTGTTCTCTTAATTTTAAGTGGGCTAAGACTGAGATTTTGCTTCAAGGATCTGATTATTTTATTACTTTTTCTTAGTGTCTACTCATGTATAGAAAGACAGAAAGACTATCTATTCTAGTAGTGGTTTTCATTGTTCTTACCTTGCCTTCGGAGGAGAGAGTAGGAAAATAGTGTCACAGGTCATCCCTGTCAAAGTATTTCTGTCCATTTGTATTCTAAGCACATTGACACTTGTTTTCAGAGAAAAAATAAACCAGCATACAGTAAAAATGTCATTACAGTAGGTCATTTTTGTCTGTGTGCATATGTGTGTTGATGTCTAGTTTCAGCAAAACAGTTATGATGTATTTATATATCATCTTTTCTAAATTTATGAGCAAGCAATTAATGTGCTACAGTGGTAGTTAAAATTAAGTATGAGCCTGCAGAGTAGCTCATCAAGTTTTGAATACTATTTCACTTGAAAGATTGCTTTAGGGTTTGAGAATTTTATCTTAATTAGCCAGTATTTTCTGAAGCTGAATGTGCTAAGTAAGTGGGTTTTCTCTGCAAGTGATTTCCTGGAGAGCAGTAGAAAATCCAGCAGAGGAAATCAGAGACTATTTGGCAGTTTTGACCAAGCTGAGTTTTGACTGGTTATAGACAGTGCAGCAGTAGTGCTACTTGCACTGATGCTGCTGTTTCTGTCACCTTCAAAATGGCCTGGGATGGCTCTGGTAGGTGCTACTCAAAGACGAAAGAAAAAAAAAAAAAGAAAAAAGCTATTTCAAAAGGTTGAATGAAACAAGGCTTCAGGATTTCCAGAAGCTGGTAGACAGCTTGTCAGTGCTAATGCTCTATTAGTGTCCCTCTTTTAAATTGTGGAAAATATTAGCTGAGTTCAAGATTGTGACATAATCCTGTGGGAATATGCAGTGCCTGGAAAGTGAATTGAAAACAGATACCTAGTGTCCATTGCTATGTAATGTTGAGATCCATCTGAGGTCACTGGGTACCTTCTTCAGCTGCTTAAATCCATTCCAGAGGAGGGAGACCGTGTACTCAGCTAGGACCAAGTGCACTGGCAATTAAGCCCCAGAATTTACATCTTATTTCCCCTGGTGGTCAAAGCACCTCTGATTCTTCAGAGGTGAAAACTTCGCTGGATCTAATGTGATGCTGTAAATGGAGGCAGAAATCCTTACTGGTCCTGCAAAAGTATATTTTATGCTCAGAGGCATGAAATCTAATTAACCTTATGCTATTATCTATGCTTGCACATCTACAGAATTTACTGATGACTATAAAATTATCTTGCCATGGCATTTGACTTGCTGACCTCCTGCGGCAGTGAATTCCACTGGTTTCATGTATAATGTTGCCAATGGCAGAAAAATTCAGTTTCATTCTCTTGCACTACCCAGTGTGAAAAATACCACACTCATAAAAAGTAGCCCTTTTTTTTTTTTTTAATTGTCTTGAAAGACAGAGAGAAAGAACCACTAGAAAGGGTGAGACACACATGAATTAACTGGAAATGTTTTTCTGCCTCAGCACTAAGGCACAATCCAAAGTTGTTGAATCTGTCAGTAAAATGATGCTGAGTGGTTTAATAGACTTTGGAATAACTAATTGTTCAGGAAGAAATCCAGATTCATTTATGTTTAATTTATGCTGATCTAATTTGAACAAGAGAGCTGGGGGTGGCCCATGTTTAATAGCCTCCTATTAGGCTCTTCAACGGGAATGTTTTGAGTTTTCTTAAGCCTGAAGGGAAATTACCACTAGTTTATCTGATTCATTGAGTCATAAAGTCCAATAAGCTGAGCACTTCCCTCCAGGGGAGGCCACTGTCCTTCAGATCCTGAGTGTATGGAGATGCTTCACATGTGGAAGCTCAAACACATTCTGTGCCTAGCAATTCTGAGAAGATCTGGATCAGTCTAAGTTGCTTGACTCCCTCGCTGGAAGTACAAGGAGCCTCCACACCTGATTTCCATGCTCCCAACTGCTCCTGCTGGCACCAGGCTTATGATCTTTAGCCACTGTGACACCTCCATTGGAAGATAATTAGCAAGTATTCCGGATCAGGAGAGACAGCACTGCTACTTGTCACTAAGATTGCCTAGGTTTATTTTAGCTGCTTTGAAATTTGTCAAAAATTAAGTTCCCTGAGATGAATTGTTTTATAGCAGGTTTTCTCAAAAAGAGTGTTTGTGGAATTTTACCGTAGTAGTTTGAAAAATTGCCTGTTTTGGGAGAGCAACTCAGTGATATAATAAATGTCACACACTATTCCTTTGCAAAGGACTGTTATTTTAATGAAAAAAATTACTCAGAGAATTAAAAAAAAATTAACATCTTGCAGTATAACAGTAAATAGTTACATCTGGGGATTCAAGATCGGGCCAAGATCGGACAGCCTGCTTACCAACACTGTCAAGATCTTTTAAAGGATATTTTTTATTGTTTGGAAAACGGAGAAGAAAAGGGAAAGATTAAAAAAACTGAAAAGTAATGCATTGAGGAAAGACTTTTAACAACATCCAATCTTAGACTAGAGGATATCTTGGGTATTTATTTACTTTTAAAGGAAACCACCCTGTTTGACAAGCTGTTGTGTTACACTGAAGGCAGTGATAAGTGCCTTTTTGAGCAAAAGAGATAAAATTGGTTGAGATGGGTCTGGAACTGCTGCTGTGGAATCCTCTTTGCTTGAAAACAAATAACAAATACACAGAAGGAGAGGGAAGAGGAGAAAAGAGAAAGCAGTTACAGCTTCTGTTTCATATGCTTTTAACTGCCACCTTGCTGCTGCAGAAAGACTATCCTACCAGCCACACCACAATCTGACCAAATTGTATCACTGTTAAGTCAAGATATTGCTTTCTGCTTGGTCTTTTGTGTGGTTTTGTTGTTGTTCGATTTGTTTGCTGGTTTTTTTTAATTGGCAGGTTTGCAGCAACATTTTCATGATTCAGTCTTTGTCACCAAGTCAGGCTCTTATTCAGTGGACAGCAGAGAGCAAAGGAAAAGACGAGCCTAGATCTTGAGAAAAGAAATAACAGGAGCTCACTCCTCATCCCACTTTCTAATTAGTCTGCAGGACTTAGCTGGAGCTCATGTGAACCTAACAACAATGTCATCTGGGTTGTTCTTCGGTTCTGTCTGGACGGTTTGTATCCCTCAGCATCTGGATAATCAAGGAAAACACCTAGGGGGGATTAAACTTTTTTTGTCCTAACCATCCATTGTCCTAGAATCAGTGTCAAATTAGAGACCTCAACAAGCAGTGATGGATGGAAAAGCCATAAAGAAATAAATAATTCTGGCTTGAAAGCAGGCTTTGAATAATATATAGTAAATGAGTGAGGGGCCACATGCTGAGAAACCAGAATAAATACTGAATACCTAAACAGCTATTAATGAACGTTGCCCATCTGGTATACTGGCTGAGGCAGGGGTCCTGTGAAAAATAATAGCATGTGGCTGTGTAATTTAAGAACTGTATCATAATATATATGCAGACCAAGCTCATATTAAAATTGCCTATGCATCCTTTGTTCTTACATATCCTTAATTTTGGAAAGCATAGCTGTGCAAACTTATTAATAATTTTTTTTTTAGGACTTACTCTGAAAGCTGTCTCTCCACATCAATTTCATCTTCAGTGCAATATTGGCCTGTATAATGACTAAAGCGCTGATACAGGAGTGGAGATGAAGGCTTATTCAAGATTCTGTAGTAGCAAAATTTTAACATTTTTATTACTGAGTCATTTCTTGCATTCAGTGACATCAAATACAAGAAGGAAGCATTAGAAGAGTGGAAAATAGGTGAAATAATTGCAGATGAGTATAAAAGAATAGCATAAAAATGTGGGGCAAAAGAAGCCCCACAGAAGAAAAGAAAGTGAGGTTTTGTAGGAGGAAACATTTGCGATGATAAGAAAATCATTGATGCAATAAGCACATTTTAAAAAACTTTTCTTGCCATTCTGTGCCTTGCTAATCACGTCTGATTCACAGGGAAAACACTGGGCAACTTCCAAAGAGGAAGGAAAATATTGAAAGGTGATGCATAGGAGGCTGTTTTTCATCCTGTTTGCTTCTCTTCAATAAAAAGGCCAGCTCTGGATCAGCAGCTAATAAAGATTACACAATGGGAAGCACAGGAAAGAATTCAGACTAGAATAGGAAAAATGTTGAAAAGAAAATTAAGTGTGTTAAAGAAACAACTTAAAGAAACAACAACTTGATTTTTAGATCACAATGACCAAATAAAATTAATCTTAGAATGCTTTAAGAACTGCCAAAGCAATCACAAATTGATAAGGAATGTGGGAGGTTAGGCAAGGTTTAGGAAGCCCTGAGAACTGTAATCATAGTTTGCAAAGAACAGGAGGGTGGAGTCAGGAGTTACTCAGCCAAACCACAGCAAAATATCAGAATAAATAATCAAACAATTTTCAAGTAATTTAATCACTGTCAGAATTAAGTAAAAGTTGAAAGCTGGGCTTATGACACTGTATTGTAAAAGGTCTCCAAGAGCATGGTTGCCTTATACAGAAAACATACCTTAAGAGATGGCCTCTTTTTACAAATACCTCTTATTTTGCTTGCAGACTGCAGCCCCTCTGCCCCATCGATGGTCGATTTGGACCCCGCAGCCAGGACGAAATCCCACTGCGAGCTCTGCAGTTCAAGCGAGGGCTGCTCCATGAATTCCGAAAGGGCAATGCCACCAAGGAGCAAATACGACTGCACAATCTTGTCCAGCAGCTTCCCAAGGCCATTATCATTGGGGTAAGGAAAGGAGGCACCCGAGCGCTACTGGAGATGCTAAACCTTCACCCTGCAGTGGTCAAAGCTTCTCAAGAGATTCATTTTTTTGACAATGATGAGAACTATGCCAAGGGGATTGAGTGGTACCGGAAAAAAATGCCTTTTTCTTACCCACATCAAATAACAATTGAGAAAAGCCCTGCGTATTTTATCACCGAGGAAGTACCTGAAAGGATTTACAAAATGAACTCATCTATCAAATTATTGATCATTGTCAGGGAACCTACCACAAGAGCTATTTCTGATTACACTCAGGTGCTGGAAGGTAAGGAAAGAAAGAACAAAACTTACTACAAATTTGAGAAGCTGGCTATTGATCCTAATACATGTGAAGTGAACACTAAGTATAAGGCAGTGAGAACCAGCATCTACACAAAACATCTGGAGAGATGGTTAAAATACTTCCCAATTGAGCAGTTTCATATTGTGGATGGAGACCGGCTCATCACAGAACCACTGCCAGAACTCCAGCTGGTTGAGAAGTTCCTAAATCTTCCTCCGAGGATAAGTCAGTACAATTTATACTTCAATGCCACCAGAGGGTTTTACTGCTTGCGATTTAACATTGTCTTTAACAAGTGCCTGGCGGGTAGCAAGGGACGCATCCATCCAGAGGTGGATACCTCTGTCATTACCAAATTGCGCAAGTTCTTTCATCCTTTTAATCAAAAATTTTACCAGATCACTGGGAGGACATTTAACTGGCCCTAAACTAAACTTCATACAACACTTTCTGTTGCACCTGAGACATGCAATAAATGTCTCTGCTAAAATATGCACTTTTCATAGACACAGCTGTCAAAGTAACTTTTTTTCATGTATACGTGTACAAATGCAGTGTGTGACCAAATATATGTGGGAACAATTTTTCTACAGAGTAGTAACTAACATAAATTTACTGTCAGCATAGTTGCATCTTTTAAGATATAATAACAAAGGGAAAGGAGGTATTTAGGGAAATAAAGTCAAACACCGTTGAAAGGGTCAGTGTTCCTCTCACTTAGTGAAGTGTTTATGTGACATACTTATTGATCTAAGCAGAACATTAGTTTATGCCATAAAAATTCATGTCAGAAGTCTGTGAAGCTGTGAGAAAGCATAATCTTCAGGCTATATTTGGTATGTATATTGCTAAAGGAATACTGACGCTTTAAACACAGTGCTGAAATTTTACAATGAGAATGGATAGTACTATTTTCTTATTATTTGAAATTAATATCTTATCTCATAAAAACTACATTGTTTCAGAGTTCCTGTGGTGAGTTTGCACTATTGTTTTATTGTATGGACCATAGTGTCACTTGTAGCATGTCAATCGTGTCAAAAAAAGGTCAAGTAATTTTTTCTTCTATGCTTGTGTGTCAACAAAGCTAAGCATCATGTACATAGTGTACAATGTTTGTAAATACTGGTTTCACACTAAGTAATTCTATTTTGTAAACTGAATATGGCTATTTAATTTATTGTGAAAATTAAATTTATTGTGGTATTTAAAAATGGAATGGATTAAAATTACCTATACGTGCAATGGCTTTTCACCTTTACTTGAGGTACATCAGTGTGGTCTCTTAGCCCAGACAGATCATGTGTATGTGTGTGAGGGAGCACTGCGCATGTAAACTTGGTTTCTAAATGGCTGAGAAAACTGATAAATGTGGTGAAGCTGAGTTTATTAAAAAAGTCATCCACCTGGGAATCTGGTTTAACACACACCTCAAAGAACATCATTGATGTTCTGCTTCAGCACTTTGCTATAATTTATTCAGTTGCAGTAGCCTGTGAGCTAAAGAATGACTGTAAAAGCTTACTGTAACCAGGTGTATCAAAAAAAGCAGAGCCACTATTAAAACCAAAATGACAGACAGAAAAAAAAAGATTATAAGAAGAGTTATAGAGATTTCAGCATTGAAAGCTGGTGATGTTTCAGAAGTCAAAGAAAACAGTTGTCATACCTCAGCTTTTATCTCGTAACATATGCACCTGCTCCAAACAAACAACCACAGTGATGTTATTACTGGTATAAACATACAGCTCATGTTTCCATTCAGTAAGTATCAAGAAATTAGTTCAGGAAATAAGTGTTTTCATGCTTTATACATTGTATGGCTCTTAAAGATTCATAAACAAGAGAATAAAAGCAAGTGGAAAATGTCTTTTAAAAGAAGAAAAAGAATGAAAAGTGGAAAAGAAAAAAAAAATAAAAAAACAACCCACAAATCCAAACCCAAAACCAAAGCACCAACCACTCCAAAACCAACATCTAAAGACTGATGAGGACACAGATTTTGGAAAGTATCCAGAATGTGAATATTCTGAGCTACGGTAGCAGAGTAGCTGGTATTTCAGATTATAATAAGATCACGTTTTCCCTGTGGGCTGTTTATCTTGCTCAGTGATTTGGAAGCATCAGTTTTCTAAATAAGTGATTTTTAAAACTCTTGTGAGAGATTGCCACTTGTCTTGCTGTATCTTTAATCATACGTGCTAGCACTGTGAGCAATGTGCCCTTTCTACATGCTGCTTCAAAGCCTTGCCAACAAAACATGGTAGAACATATGTGAAATTTTTCCCAGTAGCTACAATACTACTCACTGTTTTCCTGTATGAGAGTCCTTTATCTTGCCCATGTCCAGATATAAAAGCTGAGATATTTAACTCACCTAACAGTGTACAGTGAGGAGATTTTACCCAATTTAACATTTTCATGCTTTTCAGGTAAGCAGACAAATTCCAGCTGGCTTTGGGTGATACTTACTGGCTTCATATAGCTCTGACTACAAATTACGACTGAAGGCTGAGAAGTATTTTCAATGAAAGGAACAAATGAGGCCAAAGCTACCTCTAAGCATAAAATATCCATTTGAAATGAATATCTCTTTGCATCGATCAGAAAAACCACAGACACTGTGATCTAACAGGCACGACTACACACATTCCTGTTAAAGTCAGCTGGCTTAATTCCAGTTTATCATTTGCAATTTTGGAGACACATGGATAAATTCAGGCGATATCTTACACAAATCTGGTTCAGAAAGAACAGAGGAATAGCCAGGAATAGCAGGGGAGGAAAGAGGATTCAGAAGCATTGCAATGTATCAAGAAACCTAAAAGAGCAGGAGAGTGATTCACTTTCACTGAGCCTGCAATGCAATGTCCTTGAGTCTTTCTGACATGACCTAGTGAAAAGAAAATTTCAAACCTGAATCCTTATACATAGATCCAACACACCACCCAAAGCACACTCTTAGGTTAATGGGGATTTTGCTGCAGTATTCATAATGGGTTTGAGAAGTTCTGACCTTATGGTATTTACCTCTTCAGGAGCAATTTGTTAATAATTCATTTCAGCATCTATGCTTTGCTTTCCAAATCCTGAGTGAATCATTTCTATTCAAATTGATCATGAGTGTTCAGACTGGAAAGAGCACTCTTAGCTTGAGTTTATGATTGCAGAGTGATGCACAGCTATATGAAGTTGCAGCTGTTAACTTATGGCATTCAAGTTCTCTAAACACTTTGCATCTTTCATATTTTCTGTACCATAAAATTGCAGGCTTCCCAGCTCTGATAAATGTTTGGATTAAAACTGCTAATATTTCTGTGCATTTTTATCAAATTTTCCCAGCTGCTATTTAAACTACATAGAACCATAATTTGCAGCACAAAAGAATATCTGAGATGAATTTGGAATTGTATTTTCAGATTAATATATAGGTAGATAAAGGACTGATATTTGGAGGTCAGTGATTCAGTTACCCCACTATACTGCCTTTTCTTAAACAAAGAAAAATAAGCATAATGAAAATGTATCTATCTGCCCTATTTTAATGTTTGGGGGGGTTTACTTGCCCTGGTGTCTAAGAATACATGAGAGACAACATTTCTAGCAACAAATTACAGTAGTTCAAGAGGGGCAATGGGCACAAACTGAAACACAGAAGGCACATCTGAATATCAGAAAAACCTTTTTTACTATGAGGCTGACTAAGCACTGACACAAGCTGTGCACAGAGATTGCAGAGTCTCCATCATTAAAGATATTCAAAAGCTATCTGGTCCTGGGCAACTTGCTGTGGGTGTCACTGCCCCTTTCCAACCTCAACCATTCTGTGACACTGTGAAGATCTCCCTCCACCATTAACACTCATTTTAAGTATTGCCTATTAGTTCAGCGTCACACAGACCACAGAGAAGGTGCAAGCCCAATGTCACAAACTAGTCCAATCACCATTGAAACCCAAGCTATGAAAACTCTACTGTGCACGTGTTTGGTCAATATAACCATTAAAATTTGTTTCACAGCTGTCTATTATTTAAATTTTCTGCAATACCTAATTATATTAGCAGCTACTTATACTGGATGCCTTATGGATATATCCAGACTGCTGAGTGAATGCAAAAGATTCATTTCTGAGTGTATGTGCTAAAGATTTAACTTGTATTGCTTCTCCTTTTTGATTTGAGTAGTATGTAAGATCAAAGTGTAGATCATAATTTGAAGAAAATAGAAGCAAAAGTTCAATCAACCCACAAACACATGACAATGAAGTTTTAGAGAAACTTCATTTCCCTGTCCTCAGTATAGGTTCCTTGATAAAGATGAGGCTTGTTAAAATCATTATTTAGCAAGCTATATCTATTTTATTCTAAACAATCAAATGTTAGCAACAGTGAAAGAATAAAGCTCCTATGAAATTACTGTGTGAAGCTTTCAAATGATGTTTTTGTAACAGATGAGACTTTTCTACTTAAATGCTCATACACCTGTCTAAGGTGCTAGTTCAGAAATTTCATGAGTTTGAGTTTTTTCTGAATTCTACAATTCTGTTTCCAGACTTTTTCAGTTTGATGGAATAAACTGATTGTCAAACTGCAGTACCTAAATCCCATGCTAAAGCCATTGAATACAGTTATTTTGCAGATATGATTTCACACATGCAACTGGTTTATCTCCCATGCAGTACAGTGCTCCAGCAAAAGGAGTTTGCTTGCAGTTTAACTGATATATCTCACTGAAGTTTTAGCAGTGCTGGAGAATGTTCCAGAAATAGCGTATGTCTGAAATAAGTTATATGCTTCCTTGGAAAAGGCCAAAGACAGAGCCATCACTGGAAGAGATTTTTAATACCCACTCAAAAAGTTCAAGGCCCAGCTTCTCCTAAAGCAGTTAGTGCTGGAGCAAGGATCATCCAGAAACCTTGTTTGTTAATGGCATCTTACAAATCACTGCTACTGGTTTTGGGGTAATGATTGAGTGACCAGGAAGCTCATGAATGACTCTTCTTCATGAAGAAAAGGTCAGGAGTTGAATGTTATAGGGAGTGGTATTTCTGCTTTCATTTAAAATAGGATAATTTTTTTTCTGTGTAAAAACAACTTTAGAAACCAGGTTTGTAGAAAAAGCCTACAATCCCATGGCAGTTTAAATCAACCCACTGATGCTTGCCAAGGTCCCAACCTTCCTGTGGTCTTTCCCTCTCCTTTGCACTGACTCTCATGCTTAGTTGCTTCTTCCACATGGAGCTGCATCAGTTCACTATGCAAGCAGAAGACTAACCTATCCTAAAAAGGTGAGTAACATCACTAAAAATATCCTGGGTCAAAGAAAGGTATTTTCAAACCAGGATCTGTCACTAGAACTGGCCAATAGCTAATGCCTCAGGAAGTACATAAAGACAAGGAAAGCATAAAGACATTTCTAAACTCCAATGGTTTGCAGTCATCAAATGTCTCTACTGGGAGAGGTGGGTCTTCAGATGTAGCAGCACAGAGTGCCTTCCTCTTCCATGCAGCTAGAAACCCCTTGAACCCACTGACAAGGTGCTTCTGAGCTACACTATATCCTTCCCTATTACCATTTTGCAAGACTGGATGTATAAAACGAATCAGAGAAGATTGAGTAGTTACCAGATTAAAATCTGATAATGAATATAATGGTATGGTAATAGGAGTTTTATTTTCCTCCCTAACTCACTTTGAAAATGCTATGACTTGTTTTATTAGTTTCTTAAAAATACTTACCACATTACTTTAGACCATTGGAGATCCCTGAGCAGACGTGGTTCTCAGATTTGTAAACAGCTGCAGAAACAGAGTAAGTTATGGTAAATTTTACATTTTAAAGAGTTTTTTGCAGAGAAGAGGGCTTAAGATAAATGTTTTAAAGATATTTTTATAGTAATCGCCAAAAATTTTTATTATTATGCCTGTCAACTCCAAGGACACCAACTGGCTACTGGGCTGCAGCACTTAGTCTTCTAATTCAGTGTCAGTGTTCAGAGTCTACTGTGTAAGACTTACTTCATGAAGTAAAAAACCCAATATTTAAAAACATTAATATCATAGATCTGGTCAGTCTCAGATTGCCTTATAAGGATTTAATTTTGTTACTGAAGGCTCATGCATGTTACTGAAAAAGTGGTGTGCCAGGCTAATCATCATTACTACCTATAAGTTGATTTTTCCTTCGTTTATTAGTTTCTCTGAGGAGATGCTTTATGTGTGATTTTCCATAGCACTCTTCTACCA